CCACCCTCAAATAGGTTTTGGTTTTTGCTGGATTTAGAGCTCTCCCGTCACACAGAGCAGCCAGAGCCATGTAAGTGCCTTCCCCTTCCCCAAAATCCAGCTTCTCCTCTCCAAAGTCTCGCCATCAGCTCAGCAAAGCTGGCAGCAAGAGCTGCAAAAAGCATAAAAAAAACAACTTTAAAAGAAGTTCCTTGAATGTCCGAAGCTGCCCCTCGAGTATCAGCACCGTGGATTTAGAGCTCTCCCGTCACACAGAGCAGCCAGAGCCATGTAAGTGCCTTCCCCTTCCCCAAAATCCAGCTTCTCCTCTCCAAAGTCTCGCCATCAGCTCAGCAAAGCTGGCAGCAAGAGCTGCAAAAAGCATAAAAAAAACAACTTTAAAAGAAGTTCCTTGAATGTCCGAAGCTGCCCCTCGAGTATCAGCACCGGAAATTGTTTGTAAAGATAGAAAATAGATCTTGAACTCCAAAAAAAAAAAAAAGGAGGAGAGGGAAAGAAGGAGGAGAGGGAAAGAAGGAGGAGAGGGAAAGAAGGGAAAAAAAGAAAAAACAAAAAAGAAAAAAGGCAAGTGTGCTTCTGAACGTGTCTATTGCGCATTGGTCCGTGAACGTGGTGTTTTATCAAAAATATGACCCAGAGTTCGTTTGCTGTGAGTCTGTGACTGAAGCCCTGGGCAGGTCGACACCTGCCACGCCTCACGCTGCCGAGCTGGGCAAATCCGGGCACTGCGGATACAATCTCCCGAGGAAGCGGCTTTGGGCACAACATCATCATAACAGCTTGCGATGGAGGATCTCCCAGGCCATTCGCTTTCGGAAATAGGGCATGTGTTGCTTTGGGTGGGGGGAAAAAAAAAAGGAGAGAAGAGAAGAGAAGAGAAAAAAAAAGTACATCAGTGTGTCTTTGTTGGACTATTTATCAAGCAGCCACTCTTCAGGGTGCAGTTTTTTTAACTGGTGCTTTTCTTGGGGGGAAAAATTACTTTCCAATTATTGAAAACATGATCATAGAAGAGATCTAGGTAAGAATGTAGCTCTGATGGTATTCTCTAATAATGAGAATTAAATATTCATGCATGGGATATTCCACAGAGGCCAAGAACGTTAAATAACACTGAAATTCCCTGGGGTTCGGGCTAGGACGCTCCACTTTCATTACCGCTCTAACTGGGTCCCATTATGGGTTTGTGAACTTTCCCCAGCTGCACCGGTGATGTGCCCCATGGATTTAAGGACCAGAGCAGACCCAAGGACGGCTTTAGAGGAACAATTTTGCACAGTGTGAAGAACCAGCACAGTGCCTCGTGTCGGCCCTACTCCAAGGAGCAGCAGTAGGATCCACACGCAGGTTTGGGGACATTTTAAACCCACAGAGCAGGAGGCAAAAAGCATTTGAAAAAATCAGATTATGGACAAAGAAATGCCACGTGTCCGTCTCTCTCCGAGCATGAGGGACACGTCAGGGTGGGATTTACCTGAGTGAAGTTGATGGGCTTGTCTTTGGTGATGCAGTCAGCATATTTGCAGGCAAACATCCCGCAGTCGCTGCCGTTCATCTGCTGTGGGATCTCCTTTAACGAAAAGGACACAAACCCAAATGTCATTTCCAGAGGAGCCAGTCCCCATAAAATCACAAACTGGTTTGGGTTGGAAGGGACATTTAAAGGTCACCTAGTCCAACCCCCCTGCAGTGACAGGGACATCTGCAACCAGATCAGGTTGCTCACAGCCCCGTCCAACCTGACCTGGAATGTTTCCAGGGATGGGGCTTCTACCACCTCTCTGGGCAACCTGGGCCAGGGTTTCACCATCCTCACTGTAAAAAATTTCCTCCTTATATCTAGTCTAAATCTCTCCTCTTTTAACTTAAAACCATCAGGCCTTGTCCTATCACTACAGGCCCTATTAAAAAATTTGCCATCATTCTTGTAGGGCCCCTTTAAGTATTGAAAGCCCACCTGCCAGCTTCTAAAGATGAAGAGAAAACCCTCCTTTTCTCCAGGTGAGGGGAGACCTTCCGACTCTCTCCAACTTCCTGAAAGG